ACACACACACACACACACACACACACACACACACACACACACACACACACACACCTCCCTCCTCCCCACCCCCCAGGAGCCGTCAGGCCGGCTCTACCTCACCGTGGGCGACAGTTCCCGGTGGCGTGGCCGTTCTGAGTGGGTGAGCCGACCGCCAAGCTTCAAGAACAGGACGGTGTGGTGGCGGAGGAGGGAAGGGCAGAGCAGCATCAGGCGGGACATCGCGGGTCAGAAGAGGAGCACTGAGGCGGAGCGAACCTGGCACCACTGCGGAGTCCACGGCCGTTGCTCCAGCGACCTCGAGGAAATGGCGGGCGGACCGTTGGAGCATGCGCAAACAGGCAGGCCCCAGCGTGGATGGAATTCCCGCTTTACTTTGATTTGGTTTCGTTTGTTTGAGACAGTTTCTCTATGTAGACCTGGCTATCCTGGAACTGGCTTTGTAGACCAAGCTGGCCTCAAACTCCGAGATCGGCCTTCCTCTGCCTCCCGATTGTTGGAATTAAAGACATGCACTACTAGCACGCCAGGCTCCTATTGTTTTCCTCTTACTATGTATCCTAATATTGTCTATGAAAGCTTGTTGGTTATATTTTATTAATGTTAAAGTCTATTTTATCGTGGTCTAAAACCTGCCTTAGAGACTGGCAGCTCTATCCTGACCAGCCATGTGCAGTCCCTATGGAACTGGAGAACACAGCACTTTTGGTACAGGCTTAGTTGTGTTGTCAATCAGGTAAGAAAATGCTTCAAGGCTCCAGGTATTCCGCAGGTACTCAATAACGTGCAGCTGCTGCTACACCCAAATTTAGAGCTTCCTTTTGGCTCTGCTGGCTTTGTCCAACTATCTAATGCTCCTTGGCTGTTCTTTCATGGTTATGAATAAGGTGAATTACTCAGGTTGTTTTCTATTGGTATCTTAATTCATCAAGCTATTAGAATACCATAGACTGGATAGCTAATAAAACAAACTTAATTCTCCCAGTTCTGGAAGGTAATGTGACTGGCCTGCGCAGGTCCTTTTTCTCGTGTAAGATACAAACCAAATAAGAACTTATTTTTTCTTTTGAGACAGGGTCTCCATATGTAGTGCCCAGGCTGGCCTCAGACTCATAATCCTACTTCCTCAACCATCCGAGGGCTGGAGTTAAAGGCATGTGCCACCACATCTAACAAAACTAGTTAGTTTTAAAATAGAGGAAAACTAAAAACTCAGTATTTATTACTCCATAGTCGTGAAGGTCAGCATAAGCAGCTGCCCTATAGGCAGAAGAGCCACAACAAAAAAAGATGCACAATTCTGTGTATGGGAAGATCTGAATATTCACATGCCTACAGCCCCAGAGGAAAGAGACCTAGGCACCCCCACTTTTCACAAGTGCCTATACCTGTATTATACCCGCCATCGGCAGATCTCTTATCATGCTGACATAGTTCAGTGTGGGTACAATGATCCTCAAGGACAGGGGCTAACATTCCAGTCATTCGAAAGTCATCTCCAGACACCGACACTGGCTCTTTCTTGATCTTCCTAGTGATATAGTGAACCAGTAGTCTCATCTGTAGCAACAAGCAGGCTACAAAGAACAAATAAAAATAGGCAAGGTACTGGACTCCATCTGATAGCGGGAATTCAGGTATACTTTTTAAGATAAGAGAGCAGAAAAACAGGGATCCAAACACAGGCAGAAGATTAGGACCGTTGAAAGACCCCAGCATACTAGCTTAGCCTAACGCCATTTCGAGTAAGGTCTGAAAAGCGCGGGGTGTCTACGGCCGGCCTCCTGGCCCCAGAAAAGGGTACTAAAGGTCAGAAAAACAACTTGGAGCCAGACAGCAGGCGTGTCAAGCTCGGGGAAAAACCACGAGCTGCCCTGAGTTT